GCCAGGCTGGCTCCAGAGCAGAGGGGCTCCAGCCCTGGCAGCAGCTCCGTGGCCTCCTCTGCACTGGCTGCAGCAGCTCCAGCTCCTTCTCATGCTGCAGTCACAGGGCTGGACACAGGACTCCAGAGGAGATCTCAGTTGCCATACAAAGGTCATTGTTGTAAAGGGCTTTATTCAAACCAATCTAAGCACAGAATGCAGCTAGGTAAATTCATTCTAATGCGGCTAGATAAATTTGTGTGACTGACTTTTGGTTTGGGCTGTGATGGTTTGGCTTCTCTCTAAGCATGTTTTGCCTCAGTTGAACAGAAGCTTATATTAATCTGGATTTCTTAAAATACTGGCTTCATCAATTTAATTTACAGCACATTTTTGGTGTCACTGTTCCTGTCCTTAGGACAGTAGTAAAGAGTTTGAGCCCACAGCTGTAGAAGAGAGGCTGAACACTAGAAGGGCCCTCCTGGGCTTGGAGTGCTGCTCAGTCTGCACTGTGATCCACAGCAGTCTTGGCTCAGGGAAGAAGCCATTCTAGCAACATGAGAAAGCTACAGCTGGTCAGAAAATCTTCTGTCAGCTGGGGGCCTTAAGTCTGAAAAACTGAAGTGCTTAATTGCTTTGAGTACCTGAGAGATGGTCTTTATTTCTTGTTTATCTTGGGAAGCTCAGTTAGAAAACTAGGACATTCAGCATCTGATAGAGCGTATGTAGTTGTGTGGTAGATGGTTTTGTTTGGGGGTTTTTTTTGTGATTAATCATTTAGAAAGCCTAGAGAAAAGTCCTGGCAGGCTGTCAGATGGTTCTTATCTGGCCAGCACAAAATGATTAAATGTCTTTATCCATTGCATTTTTCAGGATGACGTTCCGCATCCATTGATTTGTTTGTTTAAATCTCTCCTGTGAGTGTCTCTCTGCTTAGGATTCCCACTGGTTCTCAGCCTGGGCCGATTGCCAGCTGACCTCTTCTCTGATTTCAAGATGAGAGAAGATGCTGCCTGGGTTATCGGGGTCACTTACAGCCACTCAGGTGGTTCAGTGAGTTTAGCTGCTTGTTTAGCACGTGGACCAAAACACTGCCCTTCACCCAGCTCTCATTTCTTCACAAAAAAGATCCTGCTCTGCTGAATGTTGCCACTCTGGATTGCGAGCAAATATAAGAAGGAATCTTGTTTTATCAGAATTCAGGATGTTCTGATGCTCCCCCAGATGTAACAGGCTGTGAAGGCAGCAGGCAGGTTATGCCTGGCTTCCCAACACTGTTTGGGTGTGTTGGTGTCCCTGGAAGTTGTAAATGGTCTCTATTTGAGACCATTTTCTATTTTGAGCAGTAATGCAGTTCTTCTTTCTTTTCCTAGTAAACAAACTTCCTACTTCTCATCTGTATGTGGATTTGGTGGCATTACAAGCTCTGAGATTCCAGCAGAGTTCCTCTCCAGGGAAATATCTCTAAGATTTTGACAGTTGCTGTCTCTGGAAGATTCTACTCCCTGTGAGACAAGTGTGTCACCAACTCTCATGAGAGGCCCAGGCTGTGAGAAAACATGATCTGTTATTTCTCAGCTCTGTCTGAGCAAGATTTTGGGGGACATTGCAGTTACAAACATAATTCTTGGAACCTCAGTCCTTTTCTGGCAGCATCGGCTTTCCAGCTTGTATCAGCTATATCCCAGTGAAGCTGGAAGGACTTAACAGGAGGAAGAGATGCTCCATTTTTCCCAAGATGGCACTGCCTCAGTGTTAAGGATAAAACAAGAAGGGAGGATGCTGTCTTCTTTTTCTAAGCTGAAACACCCCTACCCTTGTGTCCTCCTTCCCATTAGACTTGGAAGCGTGATATACTACACATAATTCAGGAATCACTTAGGTTGGAAAAGGTTTTTAAGATCACAAATTCCAACAATATGGTGTCAAATGAGCACCATATTCACCATGTCATACCATGTCATCCAGGGGCACATTCACATGGTTTTTTGAACACTTCCAGGGGTGTTAACTCCACCACTGCCCTGGGCAGCCTGAAATTTATTGACAATTTGCTTACAGAAGTAGTTAATCAACTACAAGAAGGGGGGAGCTCTCAGCTTTGATGCAGGACTTCCCTGTGCCATTTTCTTGGAGACACAGGGATGATGTTGCAAGAGATGAGTCTTTTCCCCTGGTTTTCTTAAGTAATGATGGACCATTCTTCTCCAAATATGATACAAGTCAAGGGAATGGTGGGCTGCATAGCTCTGATGCATGCAGGGCTCTGTCCTTATGGCAGAGATCTCATTCCAGAAAGTGAGAGCCTGCTGGGAGACAGAGCTCGTGGAGCGGGGCCTGTGGATGATGCAGAGTGTCTGAACTTCAGGGCAAGGCTGGCAATTCTCTTTCTGATGACAGGTTTTAAAACAAGAACAAAGTTCCCAATATTTAGTGTGAAGCCATCCTACTGACTGTAGAATTATGAATTGTACATTGTGGAATGATGAAGAAGAGGCTGTGCTGTCACTTGTGGAACGCTGAGTGTATCCCACAGCAGAGTCATTTCTGTAACAAAACTGTTGTTCGTTTTCCAGGATCGTTTTTCATTGTGGAGGATGATATCAAGATGTTCACTCACCTGAAATTGGACAAGAAGTTCCACAGCATCCTCAGCATCCTGAGGCACTGCCAGAGAGTGAGAGAGATCCGTGGCTCGGGGCTCATCCGCTACGTCATCTGCTAACAGCTCCCCATGAGTGACCAGACACCCTGCCCTGCTCTCCAGCAGGGCCAGACAGACAGGGGTTTTCGGGCATCTACCCTAAATTAGGAGTGGCGTTCAAGTATTTGAGTTTTAATTTGCAAAGTTATGGGAACTATAAACCCGCACCAGAAAGTCAGCTAGGCGCATTTTATGGTCAGTAAAGTTCTCTGCATTTTGACCATGTTCCTTTGGTCCTTTTGTGTTTCTGAGTGTTTTTTTTTTCTTTTTTTCTCTTTCTCTCAGAGAATTTTTCTCCCGTTTGTTGCCTAAGAGATGAGAACAATGGATATTGGAGACAAAAGATGTGGCAGCAGAGGGGTGGGACTGTGAGGTGGGGAGGAAAAGGGATGCAGTTTGGCACTGTCCCTTAGCTGTGGGGATTTCTCTTAGGAAAGGCAAAGAGGGGCCTGGGCTGGGGGTCAGGGGCTGGGCTTGGCCTTCAGTGCTCTCAGGATTGGAGGGGAGACAGGTGGGGTTTGTGGTTTTGGGTTGTGCTGCGGAGAGAATTCACTGCTCCTGCACTGCACTGCACTGTTACTGCCCTGCACTGCTTCTCCTCGGCGTGAGTGCGCCTTTGCTTGTGACAGCAGCCATCAAACTGGCACCTTTCCAAGCCCCAGCCTCACTGGGAGGGACCCTTCCCATCTGCTG